TAAGAGCCTCAACTCACTCCATCCACAATTCAAAGTAGGTGAGAAAATTAGCTGACTTTGTGAGTGGAAAACCAGGACAACCTGCCTGTCAGGCTGTTTATGGGCGGGGAACAGGGAGCCTTCAATGCTCCAGTCTGGGGACAGTAAAAGGCAGAGATGATAGAACAAGGTAGCTGTCTCAGAATACCAGCACCTTCCCTTTCCTCCGACCCTTTCTTCCCACAACCCCCACCTCATGAAAAGGATAAGAAAAGCATTTACTTGCTCACTATTGTGTCACGTGAAGAGTAGGCTTTGACTGATAGCCTTTTGGATCCAAAGGTTGGCAGCCTCTGATTGGCTGGCAGGTTCTGGTGAGCTGGGCCTCCACTGTTGAGGCTATGGAGCTCAGTCAGCCTGCTCTCAACAAGCTGTTTGGCTCACAGTGAGGCAACCTTTCACATGGTGAAGGCAGTCAATTGCTATTGAATATCCTCATCCCCTAGACTTTGCCTAAAACAGGAGAGTTGCGGCGGTAGCCACTTATGTAGTGGAGTCAATATGTTTCTGATGAAGCCAAAGCTCACCAGATGCCTGGTGGTAACTTGCTGGCAACTGGCCTGGGATAGGGACACCGGAGAATATCTGTTTTAACCTCTCCACTGGAGATATGGCAATCAGTGAGCCACAGCTGCAGCCACTGGCCATCCTGCAAACCACCCTTTCTTTAATCTAGTTCTCTCCTGTTCAGCAAGTGTCTCAAGACGGAGATGTCCTGGGATTCCCCCGACCCCCTTCCCACCTCTGCTGTTCTTCTAAGACTGCAGGTTCTCTGATTGGCACTCTTAATTGGCTACCTCTGGGAAGACTTCCCAGGAGCACAGATTAGGGAAGGGGCCAAGATATAGTCCCAAACCAAACTCATGGCCTAAGAAAAGAAGATTCTGCCCACAGAATTACACTTGTCACCTTCTTTCTTTCTTTTTGAGTAAAAGCAATGTTTTGAAGAGAAAGAAGGTAATTGTTTCCCGTAGGCTTCTTTAAACCGGCAATGAGCAATTAATTTTAGGAAGGCAAATCAATTTTAAAAGGGTATACTTAATTATCCACAGCTCTGTTTTGGCAGCAAAATAATAGATTGTGCATAAGACGATGTAAAACAGTGTAGCATCCATTGTAAATATTGCTAAGGAATTAACCACTTGTGCTTGTTAACGCTTATGCAAGTTGCTAATCATTTGGATTGGGGAAAGTAATAACAATGATGTGCTGATATTCAGATAATCCTGGCAATTTCTATACAGAAATAACCTGAAGTTGATTTCTGGAGAATCTTACAATTCAGTATGTATCAAGTGGACATCTAATCATATATGTTCTTGGAGAGATTAGACAGTCACACACTGATTTTAAATAATCTTATAAAACACAAGAGGGAAACTTGAGCAGTCTTCTAACTGTTTCCTCCTTGACAAAGTCTGAAACGTATGATTTACTTTGAATTTCACTGCATATTTATTCCTTGGTCTTTTTGTTTTTATGTTTTTAAAATCAAAAGTGTGATGATGGCAGTGGCAACCTTTTTAATCTTTGCAGCTAATGTCTAATGACAAGCCACATTGGAAGGCTACTTGGCAATTGCTATAATAAATAGTGATTACCACAAAACAATACTATCAATCCATAAATTGTGTAATTACGCTGACAGTACGTATACTTATGACATTACTGGTTAAGGATGCATACACGGAACAACGAAAGTTACATTTGTAAAAATTAATGAACTGAAATGCAATATAACTGATTTCCAAGTGGCTGTAAATATACCATCAACGTTCTGAATAGATAAGGATTCTTGCATATTTGGTGCATGTTTCTGCACTGAAGTTGTCTGTTAGTGTTTTATGTGTGTGACTTTAGTGCCCTTGCATATTAAATTTGTTTTCCTACACTTTGGCATTATACCAACCTGATTTTATCACTAATTGCATTGTGAAAATGTTACTGAAATGAATCAAATAAAATGCTTTAGTTGAACCATTAGATAAAATGGCAGAGTTGTTTTGATAATGAGCAGATGTAGCTAATGCATGGAGATTTGGCCATTTTCAAGTCCCATCTGCTGTATGCCTGCTTGGATTTGGCAGGGAGCCACTGCTCAGCAGACAGACATAACTTTCTCACAGTCACATCATTTGTCTCTGGTAACGAGAGTGCCTCCAGAACCATTATCAGTTTGAGAAAAGAAAAGCCATTTAGTGCAAGTGAAAAAGTTTTTTTTTTGGTTAAATGGCATGATAAAATCACACAGTGCATGGATTGCAGAGCCAACAGAAAATAAGATGAGCTGATCAGATTTGCGAATTAATTTATTTTTTTTAAATCTGAGTAGTGAGG